AGGAGAGAATATATAAATAACTTCTCTATATATATATCTACTTAAAATACTAAAGATATAAGAATAGTTTAGGTAATAAGAAGTTTAACTAATACTATATATTAAGCTAGAAGTATTATAAAATTAAATCTTACTATATAGAGAAGTAAGTGAAGGCTATTATAACTAGATAGGTTAGTATTAATAATATAGAACTACTTAAAAAACTACTTAGTGAGATTCTTTATAACTAGTTTATAGAGGATTAAAAACGCTAGAGTAAGAAAAATAAGAATATTATTAAGGTTAATAATAATTAATAGATAATAGTAATAATAGAAGAGAAAGCTAAAAATACTGCACTTCTATTATTAAAGTTAAGATCTAGCCTAATTAATACTAATAGTAACACTATTATTAATATATATAGCAATATAGGGGCGCTAGATTATTATCTTTAATATCCTAACCTATATATATAGCTACTACTACTAGTAATATTATTACTACTATATTAGCTATATATAAATATTTTATAGTATTTATTACTAACTCTTCTGCTATTAAACATTTTAAGTACTTATTAACTAAGTATTACACTCCTAATTTGTTTATCCTCACTAGTAATACTAAATTCACTTTAAAAAGCTTTAAATTAAGTAGCTAGCTTTATTAAGTAGTTTATATCTATCTATAGTAAGTAATATAATATTAATAAAGAGTTTAGAAAAAAGCTATAGAAACTATAATTAGTAGATAATAGCTTATAAGTAATTTATAAATTACTAAATATTTAGTTTACTAAATAGGGTTTTACTTAATATCTTACTAAAGATATTAAAAACTTAATTAAATCCTTTATAAATAATAATACTTATTATAGAAAGTAGTCTAACGCCCTCTCTAATATAATATCTTACTTTAAACTTTATTTAAACTATTAAGAGTTAGAGAGAGATATTTATATAAGAATATATATTAGATTACTAAGAAGGATAATAGTAGTATTAGTTAAAAACTCTATAGTATTAGTTTTAAGTAAGTTAAGGTTATTCTAATATATTAACGCCTTAATACTATATTAATCTATTAAGTAAGAGATCTATAGTATACTAGTTAAAGTTAGTTAATATAATAAGTATATATAGAGCTATTTACTATTAAATATAGCTAACTTTATAAGTATTTTAGAACTCTTTAGTTTTATTTTATTATTATTACTATTAGTATTATAAATACTACTTATATAATTATAGATTAAATAAGATAAAGTTAAGTAAAGCGATAAGGATAATTAGATTAAAATCTTAAGTAATATATTATTAATAGAGATATATTACTTAGAGGAGGATAATAAAGAAGAGTAATATAGTAAGAGTAGTATAAAGTTTAACTATATATATAATTTTTTATATAATATATTTAACTATAGAAAAGTCTACTTATAGCTGTAAATTTAATACTACTGCTTTATATATATAAAAATAATAGAATTACTATTATTTTAGATCTATAAATAATATACTTCAGTCTATCCTAATACTAGTTAGGGGTAGTTAAAGTCTCTAACTATAGTTAAAATCTCTAATCGTAATAATATATTATTATTATAAATTATTATTATAAGTATTAATAATATGTTTTAGCTGTTATATAGGTAAAATTAATATATATATATAGCTACTAATAAAAATAATAGATAACAGTATATTTTTTATATTTTAGTGCGCTTATAGCTAACCTTTTAGCAATCTTATTAGTTATAATTATAGATTTAATAATTAACTATCACATAATAATATAATTAAGATTTATTACGTATAAACGTATAATAAAAATTTAGATTACTTATTAATATTTAATATCTACAGCTTATCCTCCCTTTTATAGTTTAATATTATTAAATATATACTCTATCTTATTAAAGTTAATAAATAAATAGTAGAAATAGCCTTCAATCTAAGGTAGATAATACTTAATCTCTATAGTATAGTTATATAGATATTCTATAAAATCCTAAGTATTATTCTTATTATTATTCTACTTTAAATATATCTTCTTAATATATTACTTTAGATTACTAAAATACTTTTTAATAAGGTTAAAGTCTAATAAATATAGAGGTAGAAACTTAAGATAGATACTTAATACTTAGCATAATATCTTAATTTGAAGTATATAATAATAAGAGAAGTTATCTATAATAATAATAGAGTTTAGCTTTAGAAAACGCCTATACTTTAGGATAAAGTACTCCTATAGCTAATAAAAGAACCTATTACTATTAGTTATACTATAGTATATAGTTAAGTATAAGATATTATTTAATATAAAAGCTAATAGGATTTATATATAAGAGTTCTAAAACTAATTAATCTCTATAGTTTAAAATATAGTAAGCTTTTTTAGCGCTTATTTAGTCCTCTATATCCTAATATCCTTATTAACGCTAGATTTATTAATAAATACTAGCTAGTTAGGGTGATATTATTATATATAATATAAATACTTATATTATAAGTTATTACTTTACTAAGTAGTAATAATCTTAGATTTCTTATTTATCTAGCTAGCTAAGTTTAACTATTAACTAATTATAGAATAATTAATCTAGATCTTAAAAGCTTTATATAGGAAATCTTATATCTCTTTAAGAGATAGATTGCTATAGTATTATAGTAGTTTAAGAAGCTCTATATAATACTATATTTCTATCTTTTATTAACTTTAGTAGTACCTCTTATATCTCTATATTTTACTAGTAATATTATATTATAATCTATATTATTAAATCGTTTATTCAGTATAGCTAATAATATTTACTAGCTTATAGGTCTTTTAGTCTTTAAATAGCAGTATTATTATAATTATTAATAGCTATAGATTTAATATTCTAAGCGCTATTATATTATTATTATCACTTAGTATTTTTCTTAATATATCTAATATAATAAACTATAGATATATACTAACTAATAGTAAACTATAAATAATAAAGTATAATCTATATAATAGTAAACTCTTACTTAATATTATAAATAAGCTAAGCTATTAGAAGATTTATTAATCCTATTAACTACTAAAATATTTACTCTAAAGAACTATATTAAACCCCTTAGTATATTTATATATTACTTAAAGCTATATAAACTATATATTAAGTAGATATATAAAGTTATATAGTAGGTCTCTTCTTCTATTCCTTAGTAAATATTATCTTAATCTCTTATAATAAAAATAGACCTTTTATTAGTTAAATAGTATAGAGATAAAGTAACTAGCTAAGTTAGTAATACTTTAATAAGTAGATTAACTACTATAGAAGTATAAAATACATACCTTATATCTCTATTATGTAGTTATACGTTTAAATACTACTAAGACTATAGTAATTAATAGTAATTGAGGTATTAGTAATAACTTTAATACGTTTTGCGTGCGATGTAGAGAAATGCGCGTCATAGCGTAAAATTGGCTTTTTTTTATGTTTTTGCATAAGCGGGGAAAAAAAAGGGGGGCGGACGCTGTCAACGCAACGGAGTGTATTGAGCACAGCACTGGAGCCTAGACCGATTTGCTTGGCTGCTCCACCCCTACCTCTCCTGCTGCTCACCATGTTCATCCCAAATTCACTCTAAAGATCACTTCACCGTTTCAAATCATTTCCGAATTTCTGATTCGAATTGCTAGGAGAGCCAATTGCATTGTACGAGATGGCGACTAGCCCACAAAATACATCCCCATTCCCCATTTTCTCAGTTTTGGTTATGCTCTGGGACATCGAATATGACTCTGACGGAGACATTTACGAGGGCCAGGATGGACTGGGCTAGAGAAACCTCTATGGCGAATCCATGGGGCAGGTGAAAAGGCCGATGGACCAAATACTGTGTAAAAGCAATCCATAATCACTGTACTGTAACATTGAAGTCGTATCTCAGCAACCCGGGTCCCTGTAGCCACCAGCTCCCCCGTTGTTGCCTGAAAGTAGACACCGGTTAGCACGACTACGAAGAAAACCCGACGATTGTAATAAGACTTACAGCTCTTGTAATTAGCCGTCATGAGGCTCGCGCATGTAACACCAGCATCACCGTCGATCGGAGAGTCCAGGTTCTGTTCAGCCACACTAGTCTCGCATCCATCGATCCATGAGATCTTGAAGTTCTGGTGGTAATCGGCCCCAGGGCCAACAGGGTGCCAGTAGACCTCCTTGTCTCCTGCCTTCATTGTCTTACCAGCTGCAGATAATCTGCAGCCATTTGAAGACCATCCGTCTTGCTGGCCATCATGCACGTCGTACTGGCTGTGCTTGTCGTGGCAGATTCTCTCGCCCAGGGCTGGCGCAGGCGGAGCTTTTTCCGGCTTCTCAACCTTCCATGTGAAATTGCCGCAGCCAACATCAACGGAAGCATCATAGAACATGCGGTCGCCCGCCGAGCCGACCCATGACTTTGACCAGCCCCCGAACTCGTCGGTGGTAAGGCGAAAACGCAGATTGGCTGCCCCTAAACCGCATCCTCCGAGGCATTCATCCTATCAGGCCGTGTAATTAATGCTTCAGGGTTTGCTGTTCCTCGTTTCGCGCCAAACGAAATCACTGAATTCTGCTATCAAGAGATGAACTTTTGTACATGGGATCATGAGATCCAAAATCTGCGCCGCATCGGATAAGAATGTATTCAATCTTTTTCGTTCCCTTGGGGCAAGGGAATTGGCGCTCGTATAGCCCAAGGCAAAGACAAGTGGGCAATTCTATTGATAGCCACAACCTGCTCGACACATATGATGGTATGAGTCTTTCAGATGATCAGGAATAATCATGTGTACTGTGTACCATGCGTCTGGAATTTTCACGGTCTTTTCGTTTATAAGAAACGTCAGTTTCCTTCATCTCGAATCGCGGCTTCACCACTGGAATCATATAGAACCACACCATACCTTCAGCTGTCAACTATCTCAGAGAAAAAGTATTCTGTATAATCTTTTGAGCTCTCTTGAAAATTCTTATCGTCTTCGCAATGCGCCTACTTCAGGTCACGGTTCTTGCTCTCCATGCGGTGTCTGTCGTTGAAGCTGCCACCAAAGTCAGTTGGACTCTTCACAAGTCTTGCTGTAAGTCGTTGTGTTCTCATTCTCACATACCCTTAATTCCCTGAATCAGTATTCACTGATCATTGGCTTTCGAAGTTATGGACTTCAAGGAATAAGCTAACTATTCAATAGACAGGAAGGTGAAGGATACCGACGAAAACGGCAAAAGAATACCCAAAGACGAATTATTCAATAAAGAACTAGCCGGTGCTATAATACAAAGTGTCAATAACGCCAAAGCCTGGGCCAAGAGAGCTGCTTCCAAGATTACATTATCAACTCTCCCAGGCATCAGTCAAATAACTAGTCTTCCTACCAAGCTCGCCATCGCACCTCTTGTTAGCGGGCTAGAAAACTACAACACTGCTGCTAAGGAGATCAGAGGTAAGTGGCTGGATAAACGTCAATCGTTGAGACAGTACCAGCTCACACGATGATCTTCTTATCCAACAGACAGATTCAACAAGATTGTAGACATGGAAGGCCCTGTCGGCAGCGATGGTGACAAACTGGGCCGCTTCGGACAGTCCAGGGCCTGGATCGATCTTGGGAATAGCGACAAACATTTCAATGACTTTGTAAGTCTTGCCCCATTCGATGTCATATCACCCGCACGAGTGACAGGGCAGCCCTGAACGGCATGTCCTGAGAACCAAGGCTCGTCATCGACGGCCACCACCGTGCCCCGTTCCATCCATAAGCTTACTGAAGTTCCCAGATTATCACCTGCCGACCAGAAATTGTCACAGTGCCAGATCCCGCAGGTGGTCCCTTCGACAAGCCGTACGATGTGGTGCGGAAATATCATATGTTCCAGCCTCACACGCTCGAAAAGTTTCTTGAGCAAGAAAACTCTGAGGAAATTGGTGGAGACTGGGAAAAGGTCCCGACTCCCCGAACAATGGCGATTACACAGAGAGACGCCCCTCCAACGGGTGGCCGCAAGAGAATAGCTGAATCCATCAATTTCCACCCGCTCTGGATCAAGTTTCAGCGATCCAGGAACTTTGGGGGTTGGCTTGAGGATGATTTCACTGAGGTGACAAAGCCCAACGCGCTTGAAGATTTTAAGAGCAAGGGTGCAGCGAAAAAGCCTCCTGTTGACACTCGCCCAATGGATGGATTGCTTTCCAAATCACTCACGGCAAACATGTTGCATGAGGTATGTCCAAAGCCTGTTGTCTCTCTGGTCTGGGTCATGATTCTGACAACTCAATTCGTTCTTTCACCTGTCATATTTCGGGAATATGCTTGATGCTCCAAATGCGTATGGATGGATGAACAACGTCAAAAACAACGATCGCGAAAACCCGGACTTGTATGCTATCATCGGCGCGGTCATCGAGTAGATGAACAGAGACGGTCAGAAGTACTCAGTGTCGGCGGAAGGCGAAGTTTCCCCTATGTCTTGAATAAGTGATACGGGAAGCTTTCGCATCTATTCGAGGACTCCGAAGAAGCATCGTGTGGGATAAAGGCAGTTCTGGGCCTGCAATCTGGACTACAGGATAGATATACGAGAGAATTGGGATGAAAGACTCTTAGTTTCTAGACAGTTCGAATTTTGTGCATCAGCACGGCATTGTGTTCCATGCAATCGTGGCTTCCAAGTGAATCAATAAGAATCGGTTTCCAGAGCCTCAGCAATCTTTGCCCATAGTCCCTTGCGCAGAACACCTCCTAGCCAAACATTGCCATCCGCATCTCTGCCTACCACGTTGGAGGCATTTCGGACGCTGAGTCCCTTGGAGATTGTATCGCCCATGACAAAGGATGGCTTCCCCAATCGACCAGGACGCGTGTTCGAGTCAGCACCCTTTTTGATCACTGCCGCGGAGAAATCTGCTTCGAAGAACTTCGCCTTTGACCAGTTCGAGACCGTGACCATCTGCATGCCACCGTCACCATATAGGGGGAAGCCCATGGCCTTCTGGGCGGCAATTCGGGCTTCGAGTTGCTCTCTGCTACCTTGGTTCATGATGGCCTTGCGAACGGCCCAGGCCGTGTAGCTAAGCGGGTTGGTGAGGATATCCTTCGCTGATAAGATTGCCAACACCCCGGTAACCGCATTTCCAACGTAGGCCCTGTCTGGTGGGAGGTAGTCGTCGGCTAGGGCAGAACGCATTCCAAAAGCATTCATGATGACGATGGTCTGGTTTGACGTGTCAGGTAGGTGCCGGATAAACAGGCGAGTTATGAAAGCGGACACAACATCGCCTTCACTAGCAAAAGCTGCGGCACTGCCGGCGTTTTGAGCCTTAACCTCCTGATTCACCAATGTTGAGGAAGTTTCGAGCCCACCCAGTAGGGGTTTTCACAGTAGGGGAAAAAGCAGTAAAAGCACCTCGGTCAGTGCCCAGTCCAGTAGCTTCGCAGTATACGTACCCAAGGGTCCGGAATAACTGCCCGCGCCGACCCCAACTCGCCAAGCGAAAGCATCTGGGCCAGACGTACATACCATTGTGGCTGTCAGCCTCGTTGACGATGGCTTCGTTGCCAGCAAGGTTAACAGCCTCGCCCGCGTGACTCACGCAGAGATGGCTTCACAAGGTCTTCAGCCACGGAAAAGCTTGTCTTGGCCACGTACTTAAGACGCCGCTCGCGCCAAGCCTCGAGCCCATTCCTCACCCTACAAGCAAACCACCCAGATTCCTACACCTTCACGATGTGTTCCATCCTGCCCGATCCATGGGATCTCATGCCGCAAGGCTTTGCCCGAGGCACGCCCCAAGACACCAAGATCGATACCAACCACAGGGCCAGGCTTGCGGCGATCAGCAAGACGACGCCCTTCAATATGCAGAGCCCTAGGGACCAGATGGCTATAGCCAGGTCCTGCCTCGAGGTCCTAGAGGCTAACCTCAGCAGCGACAGCGCGGAGGCTGCCCGCCTGCTTCAGCAAAGCCTCTCGCTCGACGATGTGGACGCGTTTGCTGCTGATCCTGGCATTTGCGCCTACTTTGACGACGTCCTTGGTAGGGCGGCGTAGCCAGTAAGTTGACCAGGCCAAATCGCGGGCGTTGCTGACGAATGTAGAATGCAGCGTAGGCGGCGGAAAAGACGGCTGAGCTGACAGAGGGTGTGCGTGAGGGTCGGTAGATAGGTCGGAAGGCTGGAGAAAGTCTGTAGTAATTGAACCCAGTCAAAGTCGTGAAGTTGTTGTCGAAGTGACGTTGAAGGTGATGAGATTGTTGACGATGGCGCACCTAAGCGCGTGTGGGGGAAATGGGGCCGAAGAGATGGCGATCTGCGGGACTGTCTGGCCGAGCAGAAATCCAGGGCGATCACGTGACCAGTAGGCCGTTAGCTGAAGGGTGAAGTCGGAGGTCGTTGCAGTACAGGTTCCAGGTAAAAGTCACAGTAGCTGGCCAGAGGCCCCTGATTCACCAATAACTTCAGCTTTTTCAAGTACGCGGCAGGCATACAGACTAGTTTTGTCTCCTCTTCACGGTAGTATATGGTTTCCCAGATCTGGCGGAAAACAAACCATGCCATTTGCCATTTGGATAACAGCTTGTCGGCCAACACGTACTCCTCTTTCGGCTTCGTTCCAAGATCTGCCAGAGGATCGTCGTCAAAGCCGTGAAACGGCTTGATGTCGTTTTCACGCCCATCTAGCATTGCTGTCCATGCTCTGATCAGCTCTTGGCGTCCCAGGGCGTCGAACAGAGTATGCAGCCAGTTAAGGGACACGAGCGTGGCGTTGTTGAACGATACAACGTGCAGAGCAAGTTGCGGCCTGTCGTAGTAGATGTAGTCATCCAGGCTCTTCGGTCCATTGGAAGCATGCGTGAACTCTAGGAAATCTGTGGAATCCCCGACAACGGCTGGCTTTAAGCTGGCCTTTGGTAACCTTGAAGCTAGAGGGTGCTCTTCGATATCCACTTGAAACGTGACGTGAGAGTACGCGATGGCTGGCCTCTTCGGACCATACTCAGCAGGTATGTGGTACTCTAGCTTTTTGTTCGCCTGAGAATTGTTCAGCGACCGCGTAAGATTCAGTTGACAAGAGTCTCAAATCGCATGCATCGTACATTGAGTCTCAACCGTGCTCCCAGCTTGCGCCAGCCATCGCGTTCCAGGAGTTTCTCCAGAGAAATTCTCAACTTGTCGGGATCGAGAACGTCGTCAAAGCGCATCATGAACAACATGACGATGCTTTTATTGACGAAATTGTCATCGCCGGCGCTCAGCGGGACAATAGTGTCCGTCGGGACAATGCTAGGGACCTGCGGGCTTCTGAAGAACGGAAACATAGCGAAAATCTCGGGTAAACCGCGATGGATTTGAAAGAAACACGGAAACGTGATCGTGTGATGGTTGTGTTTTCTTTCCTTTTTTGCTGCTGATAAGTTATTTAAGCGCGTTCCCACCTGCATCCCGCCGCTTGTGGCCAGGTCAACATTTGGTGGAGCCGCACCCTTACCGTCTTGCGTCTTGGCATGTCTGTGTCCAATCGCAAAGTCCATTTCAGTCAAGGAAGAAATCCAATAAACTGCTAACCGAGCGGAATCTTCTTCAAAGGAATCTGTAGCTTCTCTGGAGGAGACCATGACAGGTTCGGATCTTATGGCCCTCTCAGCGAAAGGCGCCGTTCGTTTCCCTGGTCTCTGCGCTCACCAGATTGGACAGAAAATTTGGTGATTTCGACGGGAGGTCTCCCGTGTTGTACTAATCACCTAGTCGACAGCTTCACATCTCCAGCTTTGTCTTTTCACATTCCAATCACCAAAACATGTGCCGTCAGGCAGGTCAACGCTACTATTGGCAATGTACAATTCATCGGATGCAAAATGGTAATCTTTCGACGAAATCGTGAAGCGGCCTTGTCCGTGGGGCGGGTCTCGATGAATCCGACAGGACAAAAGATCATTTGGGGGAGGAGTCATAGGCAACGAGAAGTACGAGTTGCCCGAATTGGAATTGGATCCGGACATAACACAAAATCTGGAAATAAAAGGCTCAATAGATCTCACTGCAGCATACGCGAAACCATGCGGTAGTCTACTCCCTGTGACACAAATGCACTGAAGACCATCACACGTTGACATATATTCAATCGTAGCCTGAACACTTAAGAATGTCGTCGTTGAGAACGGGTAAATCTTTGTAAGCCGGATCAGGTCAGCAACATAGGGAACGCACCAGTTCTGGCTCGGAGATCTCGGAGAATCCATATCGAAAATGCCCTCTTTTGATTGGCTGATTGCTTGAATTGATTGATATGGATTGAATGGGGTGCTGCGCTGACGGGAATATGGGACCGCGGTCGGTCAAGGTCTCCTTGACATTGCAAGCGAACCAAAGTATTCATCATCTCACCGGTGGCTGTCCATCGCCCAGCCAGCCGGATACAAGCGACAGAACTTCCGCCGGTAAATCGAACGGCGCAAGGTGACCAGAATCAAAGATCTCAGCGTAGGTTAGACTGTCGTATGACTTCCATCGACCAACACGTTTCGAGCCGTGATACCAAGGTAGATATTCCCGAAACCGAAAGAACGGATGACCGTTCCACTCCAAGCCTTCGTTAACAAGCCTTCTCATACCTGCTGCGTTGCAATACAGGTCTTTGTCGCCAACGTAAATGAGGACTCGAATTCCCTGAAAAGTTACGAGATTCAGCTTCAGCAACCACACTATGGCAGACAGTTGCGTGTAACGATAACACATGTGGAAAGGATGGGAGTTGCATTGAAAGTGACCTACCGAGTTGAGAAGATAGTTGACGTATTCCGCACTCGACTTCCACAAATCTCCGATTTCCTCCCAGAGGTTGAAGACATCGAAAGAGACACCAAAGAATGGTGCCTCTTCCGGTACCCCGAGGGCTTTCTTGACAATGCTGCTACTTAGGTAATTGTCTATATGAGCCATTTCCGGGTAACAACCCAAAGGATCGTCACCGCATGTGCGGCGCCAGTCATACGGGTTACGATGCATCTCGTTGATGGCAACCTCGGCCATTTCAGAGCACAGCTTCTGTGCGCTTTTGCATTCGGACGAGGTCCAGCCTTTCGTCTCACACACTCCGAGATTCTTCTCGCACCATAGAGCTCTCGGAGCCCATTCGAGACATTGTGATGTGTTGAAAAGTCCGTCGGGGCCAGAGCACAACGCCTCAAAGGTTCCAGGGTTCTGCACGGGCTGACGAACTAGACCATTGCCGATCATTACACCCTTAAGATTGATTTTCTGGATACCTTCAAGCACCCCGCGAGACAAGGGACGTTGTGCAGGATCTTCGTTCCTGCCTGCATTGGTGTTCTCTTGGTTGCGCAGAATCTCCGATGCCAGTGCCGGCACCCAAGAGCCTCCGTACGACTCTCCTGCGATATAAAAGTCGACATTTCTAAGAAGAGGGAATGCAGTGAGAAACTGATCCAGGAAAGTGTGCATAGCTCGCGATGCCTCTGTCAAGCCTTGTGGTACCCTTGAGCCGCTTGAGAACCCGACGCTGATCGGCTGACTAGGGAGTTGAATAATCAGTACCAAATTTCCCGAGGCCCATGAGAATTTGTAAGATCGATGTTGTATACGTACTCCACGAAGAGAACGGTGGCATTCTTGTTCCATCCAAACTCATTCTCAATCGTATAACCTCCCTCAGGAGCTATTCGGCAGGGGCCCAACTCCATAAGGTTTCCATAGCCTGTAGAGGAAGCACCAGGGCCTCTGTCATTTGACGAACTATCAGCAAAGTGGTTCGATGAAAGCAGTATGGTGAGCCAGTGGCATGTTACCCTGTCATCCAGAGAATAAGCGGATCCGATGACGGATCATTCTTGGAATCGAAAAGCCAGAAGAACATGTGACTTTCATCATCGCCTATGTTGGAGTCAATGAATCCCGAGACGCCCGGGGTAGAACTGTTGCAGACTTGAGAGGTCTCGTTGCTGAGACGAATTGAGAAGGATGGCGTGCCTTGGGTTGCGGCAAAGTTAGATTTCGTTGGGAGCAAAGTGGACTTGGGTGGGATGACGCTGCTGGCTGTGGCACAAGACAGTATCAGAATGATCAGTCCCACCGAACGGAGTAAGCCTCGGCCGATCGGAGTTGCTCCCAAGACACTCATTTCTCCGTATTTGTTCTCAGATTGGATTTGATGGAGTGAGCCCGTATGTTCTGAAGGCTTCTCTTTAGCCTTAAGCTGTTGTATGATCAAACCCCGGGGACATTGTGCGGGATGTACGTATCGGCGCTCTCGCTGACCACATCGGGCAATGTCAACCGCCCTAGATCCAAAAGGGAAGGTCAATAACCACCCAGAAAATTGGGGAACGATGCATGCATCCTGTCAAAGCAATGGCCACCAAAAGAGCGTTGGCAGCCACAGTACATGAAGAAAGCTCCCATCAATGCGATTGACCTATTGCAGGGCGCTTTCTTCAATACCATAGACGTCCTATCATCATTCATTAAGAGTTTCTTCCATCTTCGGCTGTGTTGCTATATCTGGTTGTCTCTTGTAGCATTACTACAATGCCTTTGCTGGCTCTACGCTGCGCTCTCGTCGCAGCCGCCACGGCTGGCGCACTCGGTCTGTATCCCGGCTCTGGCCCCGGCAACCAGAAAACACTGGGTGGGGACCGGCCGCCGGTGCTAGCAGAAGAACAGCCCGCACTGTTCACTCTACGAAAACAACCCAAAGAACTTTGTGATGCAGGGTCACAATACTGGACCGGCGTTGTCAATGTAACCGACCATAAGTCCATTTTCTTCTGTGAGTAGAAATGTTTCAACACGACAAGAGACTTGTATCACTTTTGATCCAAACTAATGATATTGTGTAGGGTACTTTGAGAGTCGGCATGATCCTGAAAATGCCCCCTTGGTACTTTGGATGAGCGGGTACGTCATCGACAACTTCCCAGAAGCGAAGGCTCACACCCCCTTAGCGGCCCAGGAGCAACTGGAGAACTGGGGCTTTTCAAAGGTATAGGCCCGTGTGTCGTCAACGAGGATGGAAATTCTACAAAGACTCTGGAATACTCGTGGATTGACTACGCAAATGTTGTTGTCGTCGAGTAAGTCGCCAGCTTTCCCGCGCCTAGATGCCCACTGACAAAGCTGCTTCTCATTTAGCCAACCGGCTGGAGTTGGCTTCTCACACATTACCAACCGCAGTCATATTCCAGTGAGCCTCGAGGAGGGTGGCCGCGATATTCACAATTTTCTCAGAACCTTCACCAACGATGTATTCCCCGAACATAGTGGGCGATCGCTGCACATTGCTGGCGAATCTATGGGAGGTCACTATGTCACCGGCTACACGCATCATATCATGCGCTCGGAAAGAGAGATCGCCAGCTCTGGACAAAGTCTTGCCACATACGAGCCGCTGAATATCGAATCTGCTATAATAGTAGATGGCTACGTCGATAATACCCGCCAGACTGTAGGGTACTACGACTTTTTCTGTTCTGACTGGCGCCGAGACGGCCGCAAGGCCCCGCTTATGAACAGCACGACGTGCGACTCAATGGCAGCTGCAGTGCCTCACTGCGAAATTCTTGGACAGCACTGCCGTGAGACCTATGATAAGGAGGTTTGTCTCGCGGCCGCTATGTCTTGTGATGAGACTGTGGGAGCGCCCTATGCTGCGGATGTCAGACCTGGAGGTTGGAACCCGTACGACAGTAAGTTAGATTTCATCCAGTGTTTTTGAACGATGTTTCTGTGCTCAATATTGACTACATCACTCTGCATCCATCCCAGATTCAGGCCATTGGAAACGTAATTGACTTCTCTTGCTACCTAGGTCGTCTGAAATGCCAAAAGCCCCCGCTATGCTCAGATTTCGACAAAGACGCAACCTTTGAGTTCTTCAATCGGCCCTGGGTACAGAAAATGCTAGGGTTCCCGAACACGTCGTTCGAACTGATCGATTTCGACACTAATGGGAGGTGGACTGAAGCAAAGAACGTATTTCTTCCCGTTACTAGGGAATTGACGTGGCTCCTTGACAACACCGACATCCGGATCCTTTTCATCAATGGCAACAATGACATTATTATGTGGGCCAAATCCTTTGACTTTTCCTGTTAAACCATCGTGGCTGGTGCTGATATTTCTCTTGAACAGCAATACGCCGGGTCAGATTCGCATGCTAGATGAGCAGCCTTGGGAAGGACAGGCCTCATTTCGCGCAGAGAGCTTTAGCGATTGGCATTATCAACGAGGGGATTTGGTATCCTCTGCCAAAGACGTAGATACATCAAGAGGCGGAACATTCAAGAGCAATGGTCGGCTTTCTCTGTACACAGTAGATGAGGCAGGGCACTTTGCGCCGTTTAATCAGCCAGAGGCTGTGGGCGCAGTGGTGCGGAAATGGCTTCAGAGTTAGGTGGGACAGAAGGGGCCTCCATCACTGATCACTTTTTCTCGTCGCGGAAAGTCTCGAACCAGGGGCAACTCTACAGAACAGAGAAAGAGTTCTTTAATTTATTCTTTTTGGTTCTTTTGCACAATTCTTCAGGTTTCAAGGCCTTTTCAACGCATGTGAAATGCAATGAACTCAGGGGAATAGGGGAGGGGAGTTCATTTGAATAGCTATGGAAACCCACAAGCACAACGGCGCGACTAAACATAAGCACTGAGTTCCAACCTGAGGCTTCGTATAAGGAAGATAGGTCAAACATCCTTCAGCAAATCTCAGCCACGCATCCTAACGTTGTTCCCACTCCCGCCACTCCAGCAATCTGGAGAATGCTCTGCACAACATACCCGACACCCTCACCAGCCACTCCACCTGCCGCAACAGCATAAAGAAATCTTTCATGCGTTCTTGGGGAGTATAGCTTCCACAGATGCGCGGTAACAGCTCCGATAGTAACCGTCAAAGTCACTGAAGACCCTGGGATAGTCATCGCCAGGCCCACGAGCGACATGTTCGGAACCCAAACTTGATAAGAGCTGAGGCGTTTGTGACCGACGAGGTATCTCTTGAGGGCAACACTCCCCATTCCAAGGAGCGTCATCAATATAGAAAAGATCCAGCTGGACTGAGATATGGGAAATGTGTCCATGAAGATTGCCTGAGTGACGACGCGCCAGGATGTAACCGCTGGAAGAGTGAACTGGCAGGTCGTTGCCTCGGCATCGAGAATGCATGGGAATGCCTTTGCAAATAAGAGGAATATCGCTGGCGACAGGAACACAGCGACGAAAGTGCCAATCATCTGCGCGTGCCATTGGGGTCGTGCCGGAGTGCCGAGCAAGAAGCCAGTGCGGAAGTCTTGGCATAACTCACCTGCCTGTTGAGCAGCCGCCGAGCTTATGACACATCCTGCGAGGTTGATCCGAGCTACTGATTCATAGCCTTGTTGGTGGATCTCGTGGCGGAGAATGCCACCTGTAATGAATTGAGAGCCCTTCGCGACGGTTGTGATGGGTGTTGTTCCCGAGGCGCCATAAACCTGAATGACGACAAAAGACCACATGAAGCCGAGAGCAAGATTGAGTAAGTTCAGTGCTGGCGGTATACCGAAGACGTATTTGAGAGCCACAAGGGCAACGATGACGGAGACAAGTGTCACTGATGACCACTCCCACCATCGCACTTGATATGCGGGAGCGACAGGATCTGGGATCTCGCCGGCGATTTCCCCTTTCTTCAGAACCATCACTGAATCTGCACTTGCGTCTCTTCGCCGAGTGAACTTGGCTTGGACATTCAAGATACCGTACTTCGCCATCCGTGCAAAGTTCTTTGCCTCGAGGAGAATTGTCGTGAGAGAGACACCAAGCATCATGAATGTCGCGGGCCAAAGCATCCAGTAACGTGGGGAGGGCGTTGTGCTGAACTGAGTCGGAATGAAAGCGTTGTACGTGAGAAGCTCGGGATAGTCAGGTGCATAGGGTATGCCAACGGCAGCGCCTTTGTGTACAATGATCGGGCCCACCACTCCCCAGGCGAGTACCGTTCCCAGTAAATATGATAGTGCCGCGTTCAAGTCAATGAGGGCGCCTATCCCTATCATGGAGGGAGACCACGACCATGAGAACCAGCCCCAACTGATGGCAGAAATCACAGACCGTCCTCCCCATTTAAAAATCCACCACAAGGGATTCCAGGTGTAAAGAATACCAGGCGCATATGAAGTAGCCACAGACCAAATCAGCGAGAAGACGAAGGACATGCTGATGGCCTTGACGTGTTGCCGTGCCTGTCCTGTGCTGCCTTCGATCGAATGCAGCGTCTGAATCGTGATCGCAGACGCCGTTCCAAGCGGGAAGTACAAGCTGAGTTGACGTGCGAGGCGGAGGATGAATAAGTTGCGCAGCGGCACGGTAAAACCAAGTCCCCAGAATCCTGCAACAAGGGCGAACCAAATCATTCTTCCAAAGTCCGACTGCGGGGTCGGTCCCAGGAGATGTAGTTGGTACATGGCAGGGACACCGCTCATGAACATGAAGCCGATGCCGATGCATCCCAGGGCGGCGGCTTGAATGATATTGTTCTCATGAGGCCCGAAATCACCGCTCAAGAAGGGAATCTAGTTCATGGGTAAAGCTTGGTTAGCTGGAAATTACATGACCGGCCATATGGGTGAAAGCTCATCGTACCTTTGACTTTTCCAGAGCTTTGCAAATAGCGTAGCCGAAAATGGACGCAAATAAAGTGGCATCAGCGCCAAATCCGGTCATCAGACCTGCGAGCCCCGGGGATCATGATTAGTGCGGTTTCTCTGAGGCTGGAAATTCTATGTTGGACACGAACCAAGATAAAGATTTGAGCAGTTGATAACTGAGCCCAAAAATATGCCTGTGGCGACGGCACGCACCGTCAAGATTCTTCTTCCATCGTAGGACTTCACTCCAGGAAGCGGTTTGAACTGATCCTGCTCCTCTGTGACGCCTTCAATGACGCTCTCGGCTTTTTCAATATTGGTCTCTTTCTTTCGTTCTCCATCATCCTTGAACCCAGTGCCGTCTGGTTGGCTCTCAAATTCAACTCCTGAGTTGGAACGCATGTTGGGGCTTTGAGAGTTGCTTGCCATCATAGCGCATCTGACAGTCCAAAGTAATGGGGTGCCTACAGGGTTTGATACCAATCCGTAATACCTTTTGAGAAGATTAATTTTACAGATTTGGGAGTCTTATGCACAATCACAATGATACTCAAAAGATTCACAATCATGCTCAATGAGAGCCGTTGCATCAAGTGTATTGTTATCGACCAGTGCCCTACATCGTTATCTCGCAGGCGGCATGATAAGCTGTGAGGCCAACCAAACCCCGTGATAAGTTCTGCATTGCGGCAACGACTGTACTTTGGCTCCTGACTTCCCGTTGGAGTCAACAACAACGCTGCGTACTTGCATCATGCAGTTCTGGAAAGGATCTTATGGCTATCAATGCATCTGCATGAGCGATTTGCCGGCAATAAGATAAGCTATGTGCGTCCCAGGTTTGTGATAGCCAGTCCGAGTGTGCGCTTAGAGAAACCAACTGAATTTAGAATACCGGGTTTCACGGCAGCATGATAACAGCTTGGGGTGATCAGCTGGCTTACACGGTGTTCTTCGCCGTGCGTTCCCGTTGACCCGATTGGGTTAGATCGCCAACTCCAACACGCGTTGTCACATCCATGTAAGGTTATTCGCGGCCCAAGTAACGGTAATCGTTTCCGCGCTTTTGCCATTTTATCTATCGCGTATCGGAGGACATGGATTCAACCCGGATGTTTGCCTCGAACTATGACTCTTAGTGTCGAGGTTATCGATATTGGTCTTTGCCGGTATCCCATGTTTTGCAACTCAATTCCGCACGCCATGTACTGCAAAGATATCCGCTGAAAGTGGAGATTCCGAACCAGGGGGCAGGGTAGCTCCGGGGGGGCAAACAATCAACGTAGAATCAGTTGTTTCCCCGCATTCACAATCCTCCTGTCTTAGGGGTGCCAGGTTCGCGGCCGAGCTCTTATCGCTGTTGAGATGGCTATGTTCGTCTGTGATTCATCATGAACCTTGGATTCGCCCATAGCTACATCTCTGAGCAGTTTGCGATCTAGTGTCGTCGCGTAAATGTGTATGAAGACTCTGGCCATCTGTCACACTCCTGGACCATCACTCGCCCAGCTTGGCACCCTTCCGTCATTATGTACGATCCCGCACCGGCTAGACCTAAGAAAACAGACATTACTCGAACGAAAACGGGTTGTCTCCAGTGCCGACGTAAGCGAAGAAAGGTGCGTTGTAGTGAGATGACAGGATTGGTGTGATGCAAAGCTGATTGAAAAGTAGTGTGATGAACAGAGACCGGCTTGCCGGCGTTGTTCTGCAACATCAAGTTCGTGCGAGTATGAGTTTGGCGCCTTCGAGTTCAAAGACGCAACACAGTGGGCTGCCAACAAGGTCCGCCGCTTGAAGATGGCTGGAAGTTCTGCTTCAACCAAAGATCAAGCTGTTGGAAAGCTGGCGACACGAGACCGCAAGCGGTCAAATCCTATTCATCCAGCTACATTCACAGTCAATCAGCTTGATACAGCGGATGCGGTACGGCAGCAGCCAAGCACTGCTCCACTGCCGCCTACCCCACCAGTCCTTGAATCTGATGAGCACAGCACATCATTGGTGTCCGGTGACCGACAGGAAGACATCAACTCAGCCGCCAATTACGACATTCATGAATGGCGTAGAGACGACTTGATGGATCAATTGTCACCCGAATTCTTCCTCGACGCAGAACAGCTTCTGACGTCGTCAATGACCGACTTCATACCTGTGTCTCCAATATTGCCAGGGGATACCCAATGCCTTCCGTGGGACTTATTGATGCCGTCTTTGCTGCCGTCCCCAACTTCACCCACAAGCCAACGTGGCGAGGGTTCCTGCTCTGCGTCGACGATCTCATCGCCGGACAATCCTACACCACCAGATGAAACTCTTCTGGTCTCAGAAACCTCCCGCCATGAGAATCAATCACGCTCCTGCACAGCAAATCGGAGTCTACGACGTGGATTACTTCCAGCTTCTTGGACCGGCCTTGAGAACCAACCAGAATTGCCATTTACGCGAAAGCCGGCTCCAGTTCCCGTTGAAGATAGGCCATACCTAGCCCACTTCAGGTTGAACGTGATCAACAATCTTCCCGTCCGCCTCGACAACCTGTGGAAGATGATGCTCTACAACATCCCTCTCCGATATGCAGCTATGGCTTTGGCGGCGGCCAGTCTCGCCAACCTACATGGGCATCACTCATCCGATCATAGTCAATGGGTACCAGCACCGATTCATTCGTCTAGAGCACTCAACTATGTCAGCAAATGTTCAGAAATTCTTGAAACGCATCCAGACATGTCATGGGAGGCTCGTTTAACCATCCTGATTCTAGCTACACTGTACGAACTAGAGACTGGGACGATTGTTGATCTCAGGCGGGCTCTCGCGGTGCTTGATAATGGCATCCGCAATCATCGCAGTCAGGTCCTTTCGCTTACTACCGGCAAAGACTTGGGACGCATTTGGGTACACCTCAGATACCTTGAACTGGTCTGTCGAGGGCCTCAACATCCTCTGGGGATCGAGTCAGCCAATGAGTCACTCCTTGTGGAACTTGTACCAAGTTTGGTACATCCAGCACAAAGGATCCAGGTCATTGGATGTCAGGCGTCAAGGATCAGTCAGCGGCTGCTCTTCTCGAAATGCTTCTATGAAAGGGGGGATTCAGCCGCGGAGACATTGAGTAAAGTGACGCAGTGGTGGGAAATCTTGAAGGGTACCTCCTTCGGAGAACCTTCAGACGAACACACGAAGCCCGATACTGTGCTCCCGGATGAGGAGCTGTTCAAAGAGCTCAGAAATCTCCAGTCTACCCTGGCTGAATGCGAAGCTCCGGAAGGGATACTGTCTGCTCTTTTACCCGACTCGGAAGCATTTTACGCCAGACCTTATGCGCCTCTCCGCCTTCCGACTCATCAAATGACCATGACGTGGGCTGACTATGCATTCGCCCAGCTACTCTGTACCGAGAGCAACGTCCAGAGACTTACACAAGAGGTGAGAATTGCTGTGGACAATAAAGCGGACGCATTTGATTGCGCTCCAATGAGGAGCAACCCATGGCTGAATTTGTTACTTCGGATCACCGACGAACTCGACCCAGTTGATTGTCAAAAGAGAAATACGTATAGAATCGGGATCTTCTCAATTTTGTTTCAGGTTTCCATCCTCGGAGCCGGTAGGATCGGCTTTGAGGCCCTACAGCAGTTCATCCAGAGGTCGATGGCTGTCGGCGTGCTTTACGAGGGTCCATTCACGCCGTTGCACTCGGCCAGATCTTGCAATCAGGCGATACTCAGGTACATGGCTGCCAAACCTGGCTGCGCAATATTTGCAGCCTCCTTTACATATTCGGCCTGGGAAGCCCGCGAAGTTCTTTTCTCCAAAGGCGGTGGGCAGCACGTGCTTCTGTGTGGCAGAGAGGCTGATGGTCGGTACCTGAACGACCTCATTCCTGTAGATGCATAATTCGAGCTCTGGTTCGTGTTCTGAGATGTCGTCGTAGCTCTTTAGAGTTGAAATTGAGGCTATCTTCCCACATAAAAGTTCTTCGAATGTATTGTACAATGTTCTCGTAGCGCAGGTGAAAGATGGCTTTTTCAAGACGCCCAGCGACAATGGCGACACCCAAACAACGAAGACGATCGGTCACGACAAGGACAACGGAGACGACAGAGATGACGAATGCCGTTTACAATACATTCACAGCCAAAGGATGCAACGCAATGAAGTTGGCAGAACTAGAAACAGCTTAACACTGTAAAGATAACATGAGAGTTGGTAATAAAGCTGTTCACCTATATTTATATTCGTGTATGTCTACCGCGTTCCCACCCCTACTTCGCATCTACGGAGATACAAGTATAAAACCTGTGCTCCCGTTGATATTAATCAGAGTGCCGAATGGTCTGGAAGCTTCTTGCAAATAGTTCAAAATGCGTTGGGCCTCGGCAGGAGGCGCCAGTTTTGGCATGGTCCGGTCAGCCACCGATGTGTCGTTGGTGAGTTGGTTGTGTATCGTGGGGTAAAGTGCGATCCTGTTGACAGTCCCATCAACAAACTCGGTATGGGCAATGAGACCATCATCCCATTCGATTGGCAACGAGACGCCGCGAAAGTGAAGCCCGAGGCTGTAAGTAAAAGAGCCGAGGCTGTAGAAAATGGGGCGACCCTGATATATCTCAATGCCCCTGAGATGATGCGGCCCATGTACGAGCACCACATCCGCTCCAGCCTCTATTGCGGACCGACTGATGTTAGTGATATACGATGCGGGTACCGTCGATGCAGGAGGGAGAGGGATGATTGAGTCGTAAGCGCCCGAGTCGCTCTCATGGGCGTGGAGTGAGAATACGGTGGCGTCCGAAGTGGCCCTTGCCTCCCGGATTGAAGAAATAATCCCGTTGAAGTCATCTTCGTTGGTGTTCCAATCGAGTTTGGGAGTTGTCTCATTGGAGTCTGCACGCCGCCAAGAAGACCAGAACATGGGGCTTTGGCCGGTGTACAGAGTCACTTCTGCGACATCGTCCGTTAAATCCGATTGTCCCTGGGCACGAGCGATACGAAGAATGTTGGCAAAGGCCTCGCCATCAACAACTGTGGTCAGCGATGTGCGAAGAGCACTGACACCAGGTCGCGAGGCAAGGTTGCCCGAGGGCTCCCCGGCGCCCGCGACCGATTCGGGGGTGTGGGTCCCGGCGGCACAGATGAGAGAAAGGCGCGTATTACCGCGCTGGACGCAAGAGGCATTGCGAGCTTCCGCCAGACTAGCTCCGGATCCAGCGGATGTAATGTTGGCGGCTTCTAAGCTGTTTTTGGTTTCATGATAACCGTCGAATCCATAGTCCCAGACGTGGTTATTCGCTTGGGAGGCCAAGTTGAAGCCAAGGCCTGCAAGGAGGAACGCCTGACTGGGATCATATGTTGGCCCGCCGCCAACGTTTCCATAGTCATTGTCGCCTCCGTTCTCCGAGGAAGGATATCCAGTGAAATCTGCATCACGGAAAAGTTGGCCCTCCATGTTGAAGAAGGCGAAATCCGCCGATCGCGTGATGTCCCACAATGCTTGAGTTCGGGAATCATTTGTGGTGACGACGTCTCCAAGAAGGTCTCCAGTAGCCACCAAACTCCATGCATTGTTGCTGATAGATGCTGCCGAAGTTACCGGGAATGCTAGTTGAGCTGAATGTAAGATTATCGTGATAGAAGCAAGACGGTTGAGGCCATCTTGCAGGGATCCCAGCATGGAGCCCACGCGTCCAGGAGACATCTTTGTCAGCGGTGCAGGATTGCAAAAGAATATTGATAAATAATGACTGAGCGATCGAGAATCAAATTTTCCTGACATGGCTACTAGCTACTGTATGTATATTTACGTCCTCTTGGCTGCTTCGCAAAGCTAAACTAAGCCCCATCGCCAGAAGAGACCGCGTTCTTGTTGCCCAAATTAGGAAATGGGTTTAAAGCGTCTCCACAACCGATGACGAACCGTCATTTAACAACCCTTGTCGCGCTATGAGTGCCGGAATGCTCCTGAAGAATAACGATGATGTCTGAATTTGTGTGCAGTTTCGGAGGCGTATTTATTCCTCTGGCTGTCCATGTTATTCTGTGACTATTCATCATGTTCTGGAATCATCAGATTCGGGCAGCTAAGTCTCTTTGTCAAACCACTTCGCTCCTCTCCTGTCGACTTCGCCTTTCTTGACAACTGTCAGCAATGAGAAGCATTCTCTTGGCCCTGGCCTTTGTCAATCAGGCAACCTCCACTGTATTCCCATACATCAACATCACCCTCACTCCAAATTTGGCCCCTGAAAATGGAACAACTAGTCTGAGTGGTCAACTCACCACGGACATCTCTTTCAAAGCCAACGAGACAGTGGTTGCTCTTCCACTCACTATCGCCGGCCAGCCGTCTGCCCAGTACGATTCGGAGTCTTTGACTGCAACTGATGGTGCTGGAAACCTTCCTCTCGTCACCACCGATGCCACCGGGTCTTCTGGCCTGGCAAGCCGGTTTTGGATCGCTACCCGAGACGTTGTCCCTCCAGTCGCAATCTCCTTCACCGCACATCCCCGTGAAGTCGACGAGACGACGAAAATGGGTCCTCTTTTCGACATCAGAGAGAATGCTGGTGGCATTCTAGGATCAATATGGGCTCTGGTCCCTGTCCCCGATGACACTTCCACTAAATTTCAGATTGCCCTGTCCTGGGACCTCTCAGCCTCCCCCTCAGGGACTAGAGGAGTCTGGACTTGGGGTGAGGGGCCTCAACCCGTCACTATCAACGGAACCACAGACGATCTCCTGAGTACGTTTTTCGCTGTCGGGCCCATTCTCTCAAGCTCCTCTGCATCAGAAGATAGCCAGTTCAACATGTACTGGCTTGAGCAGCCACCTTTCAACGTAACCTATCTCGCCTCCTTCATCAAAGCATTCTACAATTACTCGGCAACATTCTGGCAAGATGACGGCACCAAGCCTTACAAGGTGTTCATCCGATACAATGAGAACGTTGGAACAGGAGGTACAGCCCTTTACAACTCCTTCACGTTCGGGTGGCACGATCGCAACAAAACCACCACCAATGACACTGAGCTACTTCTCGCTCATGAGATCACCCACAACTGGCCTTACATCTATAACGGCAATCTTTCCGACCAGACCCGATATGCGGAGGGCACTGCCGAATTTTACTCACTTCGCAACCTGTGGCGCGCGGGGCTGCTCAGCACGTTGGAGTACGTGACGGCAATGAACACCAAGGCGATCGCCTACTACCAAAATCCGTCAATCAACTTGACCGACCAAGAGGCAGTGGATCAGTCTTGGACTGTATCAACGGCACAAACCGTTCCCTACGGCCGCGGTCTCATCTACTTGGCCAATGCTGACGCTGAGGTGCGCGCTCGCTGGAATAATACCCGGAGTTTGGACGACATAGTTGTCGAGTTGATGAACCTCTGTCGAGCCGATGACTCCTCCTGTACAACAGACGCCTACTTTGATCTTCTCACCAAGTATGCTGGTTCATCAGCCGTTGATGATTACAAGATTGTGGCATCAGGCGACCCGGTCATTCAGCCTAGAGAAGGAAGCCTTGGTCCTTGCTTCGAAGTGGTCCAATCTTATACTAATGCTACGGTATGGACATGGCAGTTGAGAGACGAGTTCGATATCGACGACGAAGAGTGCCGATTGTAGGGTGTTACTTTGACCAATTGGAAAAGTGTTTCGCGAAAAGCTGCAATGTGACCTTACTACTTAAGTCGACAATTGACCATTCTGAATCAGTCATTGATAATCTAGTTCCCTTGCGGTCGTGTGACCATCAATACGCTTCTGACAGTGATCTCTAAAGATATTGATTTATCGTCGCGTAAATCGCACTAACATTCTCACGCTGAGGTCCCTGATCTTACTCGCTGAAGGGGGTGATCTCGCTTCTTTCGGGCATTTGCATCAAGCTTTTTGAGTGCCGCTCCTATCCTCATGATAGCAAGCAAAGTAGCCTCCACATCTTTCGTAAAGACGAGCCGGAAAAAGCCTGCTTCGGTACTGCCTGCGAACTGAGCTATGTATTAGCCACTGGACTGATTTCAACCATTTAACTTTTTTTGGCTTACCTTCCCTGGATTGACGCCAACCCCTGAATCCACGAGATATTTCCACAACTGCAACTCGGGCTCATCTGCTCCCTCAAACTGATTGATCCACCTTCGAAGATCAATGTAGATGAACAACCCCGCAGTTGCTGGCTGGAATGAAATCTGGTGTTGAAGGAGAGCTTCCGATACCTTCTCATAAGCATGCGCAAGCCGGCTTTGGTATGTGCGTACATAGTTCTCAAAAGCAGATTCGTCTTGAAGCAGGCGAGACGCAAAGCTATCGGAAAACGAGGTCGGCCAGGTGAACCAACTATGACATGCCAAGATTCATTAACATGCATGATTCAGGGACCAAGCTTCGAGATTCGTTAAGAGAAACTCACGAGATCCTAGCCAAAGCCTTTCTCAACGTTTCATTTCTAGAGACAATAAATCCTAGTCTCAGACCGCCCATTCCAAAATCCTTGCTCAAGCCCCAGAGGCTGTGCACATGTTTGTCTGATCTCTGGTCCGTGGCACCCAGGATCGAGGTGAAAGGCTCGAGTTCGCCTCCGAAATGCGACAAGCCGTATATCTCATCAACCACCAGCTGCAAGCCTCGTTGACGGCACATTTCGGCCAAGGCGCGGAGGGTTTGCTTGGAGTAGCAACGGCCTTGTGGATTCTGGGGATTGCAGAGAAATACAGCACGTACTCGACTGTCGTGGATGCCGTCCGCTGCCATGGTAATGGCTTCGGCAAATTCTTCAGCAGAACCGGGACCAAAAGGATCTTCTAGATGGTCTGTGATGACTTTGACCACCTTGATCCCATTTCGTACTGCCAAATCGAAGTCTAGCATGAAGAATGTTGGAACTGGGATCAATATTGTGTCACCTGGGTCTGCAAGGACCCAGACGAGCATGTCGATGGCTGAGCTCACGCCATTGGTTGCGAAAACATTCGTGGCTTCAATGGAAAATTTCAGGCTAAAGAATTTGTTGTACACGTTGGCAGCACCGTGCTGAACGTCTTTTGAACCATGAAGGGGGCCGTAGTTCAGCAGGGAATGAGCATCCATACCGCGGATCGCTTCGTCGACGTACTCCTGCATCCAGTCGTGCATAAGGTTATTCACAGATCCAGAAAGATCAATGAACCCATCTGGTCTCTTTCCTGCGTCGTATTGTGGGAGTTTCTTTACTTCCCAGAAGTAATCTGCCCCTTCGCCTAGGGTGAAGCTTCTAATGGCACGTTGGGATAATAGGTCGGAGATTGGAGCCATTTTCGTTGCCGAATAGAATATGATTGAAGAACAACGTCAAGACTTTCCGCAAGTATTTTGGCCCAGATTACAGCGTGAAAACGCGGTTCAACTGATGGGTGATGTCGACCAATCAACATGGAGTCCCCGCGATCGAGTTACTGCATCGAGTCAACGGCTGCGCTCCCGCATAAATGATAGCTTATCGTGGTGTTGTGGGGGGGCATCTTGATAATCACTTACCCCCACGTCTTTTGTGGCCGAGGGCATCTTTTTTGACGACATGCTATTTTGTGGACTTCAGGCTTATGATTGACATTGATGTTCTTTCGTTACCAACTATTCAACCCTCACCTAAACGATCCCTTCTCAAGCTATGGCCTGCGCTCACTGTTCGGACTTCTTGCTTGACATATCCGAGCAGGCAAGCCAGAAACAAACGGCATGTTCGCCCTCTGATGAAGATGAATGGCATATCGTTTCGTCTCCTAAACTTGAACCCGCGCAGGGTTCAAAGCCTGAGGATAGCGATTTGTCATGTATCTTCGCCGACCAGCTTATCCTAGGCCGCGGCGATCCCATCTATCAAGCAGCCGTAGGAATATCGACGAAGTCAGGCACCATCACCTATGTTGGCAAACAAGCCGACATTGACGATGAGCTTGCGGCTGCCCCCAGAACCCACGTCGCCTGTCTCATGCCCGGTCTCTGGGATTGCCACATACACTACTGTGGTGTTGGCAAAGTTGACTATCCCGAGATAATCCTTCAGCATCCCGCAATGGCAGGCGCGGCCATCGCCCGCGGCTTCTACGATACTCTCATGTCCGGCGTCACCAGCGTGAAGGAACTCTCCGGTTACGGCCTCGAAGCGTACGCTGCAGTCAAAGCTGGTTACATCATGGGGCCAACTGTTTATGGCGCCGGTGCCGCCCTCGGCATGACTGGCGGAGGTTGCGATGCTGTCACTCTACCTCTCGACACGGTGTGGTCGCGGCAAGGTACGGATAATGCCGGTCAGCGACTTTGGTCTGGCCAATCCATTTTCGCGTTGGCAGATGGTGTTGCAGAGTGCCGAAAGGCTGTCCGCCAGCAGATTCGTCGTGGGGCAACTCTCATTAAAGTACTCGCCACTGGCAGCGTGATGAGTGTCAACGAAGACCCCAGCTTTCGGTCTTACTCTGACGAAGAGCTCCGGGTTATTGTGGATGAGGCTGCAATGCAAGGGAGAACTGTTGCTGCCCATGCCCATGGCAAGGAAGGCATCATTGCTGCGGTGAAGGCTGGAGTTCGGACTATTGAGCACGGAAGCTACGTTGATGAGGAAGTTGCCCAGTTGATGGTCAAGCACGGTGTGACTCTCGTAGCCACCGCCTACATCACTCATGCCGGTCTCAAGAAGCTCGATCGCATGCCCCCTGAGACAGCAGCGAAGCTGAAGCACATAGCCGGCATAGCTCACAAGGCCTACTGTACAGCGGTCAATGTGGGGGTAAAGATTGCTCTCGGAACCGACATATGCTCCAGCGACCCTCGGGACCTTCTATCCCCTGGGCACAGTTGTGAAGAAGTCTATCTAGCAACGAAGGCCGGCTTAACTCCACTACAAGCCATCGAAGCTGCCACCATTAATGCTGCGGAGACACTTGGGGCTTTCACACCAAAGAAGGGGCTTGTGAAATTAGGATGGGACGCTGATCTCATTGCTTTTGATGCTGATCCCCTGGAGAACATGAAGCTTTTTGTAAACCGTGACAATATTAGATACGTTTGGAAAGGGGGAAAGCTGGTTAAATCACCTAGGAAGATATTTTGGCCACCTGGCAGTACCTAGCTACAAGAGCATTGGTTGCTTCGAAAATATGACACATCATACATATATCATATTCAGATGTCATATTTGTCTTGCTCTCTATACGGCGACACTTCAACGGCGCCTCTCATTGGAGAGGTAGGATGCCTGTCGTCTCGCCGTCGGCCGCGGGTAAAAAATACGTAGCCATTTTTCTTAATGCGTATTGACCTGTCGACAGGCGCCTCCTTCATGCCATGCCTGATATGTCTGCAGCAAGGATCGGGAAAAGGCTCCAAATGAAGTTCGACATCCCACGGTAAATGCATAGTAGACAAGACTGCCCAGCCTCCACACAGCAGGTTCAACGCGTTATCTCGTAATTCAGAGCATGTACTAGGATGCCATCCTCAGAATACTCCACGAGCCATAAGATCCCTTCATCCGACCACCCAGTCCGTCCAGCGACACCTGATTGAGAATTTGCGAAAATCATAAAACCTGATGGCCCAGCCGGGCCCGATCAGTAGGGCCAATTGTTGCGTGGGGATGCCGAATTGTCGGTGGGGTACCCGTTATGATTGGTACAAGGCTTCCGGCCCTCCGGCAGTGACGGGAGTATCTAGACACGCAAGCCAAGTATTGATACAGTGAAATTGACGAGACGGTGAAAGCAGTTTAGAGATGCACATGCTAAAGGATATCATGAAACCCTTCACCTGGGGTGTCTGGGATGGTGGTGTCTCCCCCGCAACTGGATGTTCTGGGCTGAGAAAGATCGGGCGAGACGCTCGCCGCAGATCGTGACAGCCCGGGTTGAACCCTGACATCTTGGTCTAGACCACCGCAAAGGCGGGGTACAGAGGAACCGGAAGGGACCGAGGGTTGTGGAGGCTTGTCAGATGTGAACTCAGGGACTTGGACAAAGCTTCATCCATCCATCTTTTCGGGCTTTTTCCTATCCTAATCTTAATTCGTGAATTTGGAGAGTGATATCATATCGACATACTCCCTTGCTCTTTAGCGGAAGTAATGTTCTATTTGACGATGAAGCTCGTAAACATCGCGTTGAGGCGCAATACGTTACTGCACGGGGCAGCGCTGTGAAGGGGCCATCTCAGTCTGAGTTCAAATGACAGCTGTGTCCAATTGCCGATGGAATGAACTAATCAGGAATACACTATCCCAAGTATCGCGACATTTGGGTCTCAACGAAGGAATCCAAGGGAAAGCTTGGTGTAAGGTTTTGAACCTACGAAAAGTGTCTGTGAATTCTCCTGAAGGTGAGGGGCAGCCCACATGTCGGTCAGGAGATGAGGTCTGATAAAGAGCTGCTGTCCCGCGATGCGACACGCCATTTGTACATACCTATCTGGAGTAATTCTTTTCAAACTATCTACTCAGAATTATAGCAAGATAAATCAATCAAACCACTTCAAAATGGTCGTCGAAAAGGGTAACAGAATTCACGTCCCTGCCAGCGAGATCACCAACAAAAAGGTGACGGTCGAATGGCAACAGAGTCTCAAGATGCATTCCCAAGATTACTGCTCTGTTCCTTTCTTCAACAAAGACAAAGGTAAGAACTCTCTGGGGTCTCTGTCACAGCTTCATGCGTTTAATGTCCTGGCTAACTGTACTACAGGAGATGAACAGAGCATTCTCTTCATTCAGACAAGCTATCTTGACTCTTTCAAGAACAAAAACATTCGCTCGTCAGCCGGTTGGTTCAGCTACCTCTTCAGCTTCTTCTCCAGGAGTGCCGACGATGGAGATTACACCGTCATTGTCGACGACTCATTTCAGTACGGCCAGAACTCCGACCAGACCTCCCGCTGGTTGGCGTATCATGACAAGGGCATTACAGCCTTCCAGGTAGGTTTCTAGACTTGCCGTCGGTCATGAGCTGACTTTGATTCACAGTGGCGCTACGTCGCAAGCCTTCAGTCTACTGTGGGCTCTGCATTGGCTGGGTTTGGCGGTGGCATTTTCAAACAGTACAGTGGCGTTGACGTTAGTAAACTCTCTGGCTTGATTGGTGACCCCCTTCATAACTTCTAAGGGCTTGTAACAATTGGTTCGTCGTCTTCACTTAGGTTCTCTACGGAGTCAGTCTCTTTTTCTTGTATCGGCGATTCGTGGTTTCCTCAGCTTGTCAACGATTCCGGGTTTTGGACATGTTTAGGACAATGCAGTTGAATGTTCACAAATCAGCAGGATCTTTTGACGTTAGGGTCTGATGTAAGACTGTTAATTGAGAAATAATATGAACAAGAGAATCAATTGATTCTCTTCAACCTGTGTTACTTTTCTCGAATCAAGCCGCATACGTCCACGATGCGATAACCGATTTCAAGAACTTTCAAAGCTGTGTGTTGCATGCCTCAGTACAACTTGCCGTTGTTCAAAAGTGCCTCTCCACAAATTCCCTGATGCCAAATGTGAAGATATTTTCGGCAACATCGTCTCACATTCAAAAAAGACAGTGATCAAGTTGACATCGGGTCGGCGCGGCTGAGGGAACAGACGACCGTACCCGCCGCAGACCCCGCACCGTGTTCTGGTGCGCTACCCGACAACGCGGAACAGCTAGACGGAACGTCCTAAGAGATGTTCAAACTAGTCTGGTGTACCACTATTTCTGCAATCCAAAAGAAAGCTACCCTGATAACAGACCGGGAACAGGGTCATGAACCATCCGACGCGGGAAGAATCTCGGCGGCCCGGTGCATAGTCGCGTCTCCGGTGGGAGAGAGGGGGGATTGGGGCTCCCACGGGGAAGCATCTGTGCCAAGCGGTCATCCCACGGCCGTTTCGGCTTATGTGTGATGATGAAGTCGCATACAACCGGGAGCTACATCTACATATAAATGTCATCCGCGTGCCCAGAGAAGTCGAGCCTCATTCCAGGCTTCATCTGACTTCATCTGCATTTACACCCTTCATCCTCTTGCGAATCTCACGCGACCTGCCGGACACAATCTCATCTCATTCTTAATTAGTAAAACCTTCAAAATGCTCGGCAAGATCGCTTTGGAAGAGGCCTTCGCCCTCCCGAGATTCCAAGAAAAGACCCGTTGGTGGGCGTCTCTCTTCGCCGTCGACCCCGAGAAGCACGCCGCCGAGATCTCAGATGTCGCCGACATCAGACTGAACTATATGGACAAGCACGGCGTAGGCTTCACGATTCTGTCGTACACCGCGCCCGGCGTGCAGGACATCTGGGACCCCAAGGAGGCTCAGATCCTGGCCAAGGAGATCAACGACTACATCGCCCCGGAAGTCAAGAAGCACCCTAACCGTTTTGGCGCATTCGCGTGAGTTCCTGCCGGTTTTAGCGTTGGGGAAAAAGAAAAAAACGGCGCGAAGCTAATGCGGTACCAGCACACTTTCCATGCACGATCCCCAGGAGGCTGCAGATGAACTCAGACGCTGTGTGACACAATACGGATTCCTCGGCGCTCTTGTCAACGACACGCAGCGTGCTGGCCCTGATGGAGACGACATGATCTTCTATGATGGCCCTGAGTGGGACGTGTTCTGGTCCACCGTGACCGAGTTGGATGTTCCCTTCTACCTGCACCCCAGGAACCCGACCGGCAGCATCCACGAGAAGCTCTGGGCTAAGCGCTCATGGCTTATTGGTCCTCCCCTGAGTTTTGCGCAGGGTGTTAGTCTGCACGTGCTTGGTATGGTCACGAACGGCGTCTTCGACCGCCACCCCAAGCTCCAGATCATTCTGGGCCATCTCGGCGAGCATATGTGAGTTTCCCATTATTCCAAGCATCCTGAATGCCTCAAATTAACGATTGCGAGCCCTTTTGATGCCTGGAGAATCTCCCATTGGTTTGAAGATGTTAAAAAGCCCCTGGGGTTGTCCATCAAGAAGACGCTGCGCGAATACATCCAGGACAACTTGTGGATCACGACAAGTGGTCATTTCTCAACAACCACCTTACAGTTTTGCATGACTGAGGTCGGCGCCGACAAGATTCTTTTCTCCATTGATTACCCGTTTGAATCATTTGCGGATGGTTGCGACTGGTACGACGCTCTTCCCATCAATGTCGTTGACAAGAGGAAGATTGGAAGAGACAACGCCAAGAAGCTTTTCAAGCTGCCGGATTTCAAGGACAGCGAGGCAAAACTGTCAAGTTAGATAATTTAAATGTCCAGGACTTAGTTATGGGCAGGTTTTGTGGCATCTATTGCAGAATAGATAAATATCCTTCCTTCATTGAATATGATGAAAATTCCAACATTCTGGAAACACCCTCCCAAAATCCGATCACGCAAAACCGTAAAACAGACATGGGATTTATGAATTCGATCAATAGTCCCATTTATAAGAAACTCTCCCATCAAAGACTGGCTTGCACATGTTCGTCGTGTACAACCCCCTTCAAGAGAGCTAGACACGTCATCATGCGGCGCCATTCCTCCAGCAGCACAGAGCTTGTAAACGATGACTAGCCACCTCTTCCTGCATGTTCTTACTGAGCCCACGTGCCCCAAATCCTCCAACCCCAAATCTTCGTTATCAACCGGGGTGCAGTGACGTTGGCACACTAGATGATGTGTGGGGTATGGGGTCCGGAATTCGTTAGGAACTTCCGTAGTGGGGTTCCGTCCCGGCAGCAGGGAGATCCAGGGCCCCCCCGGAAGCCGGCAGCCGACCCCATCCAGAAGGCTTGTCTGTGTAAGTCACCCCTCCAAACCCCAGATTTTCCTTTTCCCATTACTCCATGAAATCCAAGGGATGCGATTTCGCCATTCGTGCTAGCCGTTTCGCATTTTCTGAACACATCCCACCATGCCTCGCCCCAAAGTCCCTGAAAGCCTGCGCCAGAGGGCCGCGGAGGCCTGCAGCTTCTGTCGCGAGGCCAAGAAGAGGTGCAGCGGCACCGCGCCGTGTACGCAATGCGTGCGCCGCGGGCTGGAGCGGGACTGTTGCATGACTGAGCTGCCGCGGGGGTCGAGGACGAGGAAGATTTCAAAAAGCAGTGCGGGCGGGGGGACGAGGAGGTCCCGCGCGACGCCGGCGCTGGATAATGAGTCCATCACGGTCTCGGTGAGCTCGCCGGTTTCACCGAGAGATCGATCGCGGAGGAGTGTGAATGGAGCTGGACAGAGACAACTCCGTCTGTCGCCTCCCGCTTCTCAGCAAGAGGACGAAGAGACGAGCATGAATGTTGACCCGCAGCCTTTGACGCCGCCGAGGGAAACACAAGTTGCGACGGATCCATCCCTGCTGGCAAACCCGTCGCGAATGCTTCGAAGTCTTCACGGTGAACAAGGTGCGTGAAATCTCATCGTAGCTTCCAATGCGTACTAACGCTTTATGAACAGTATACGTGGGAGGCGCTGCAGCGATATCCTTCCTCCAAACAGTCCGTCAAGTCGTTGCTGGGCAGATCGGGCCCTCTCCGTTCTCACACAACGATGACACTGAGACGATGCTCGAAGTCGAGTCACCAGAAACACGCGCCACAACCTCCCCATCTGCAGAAACCGCAGTTGAACTGAACGTGCAACAGAAGCTGGCGTATCTGCATTGCTACTACTCTGCAGTAGGCACCCCTGCTCTCATAATCTCACACAAGCAACTTACAACAAAACAGACCGAAGGCCTTATCGACATCTTCGACCCGAGTGAACGCCAGCAGCTCTTCAACCTAGCTCAGAGCCAGTCATCAACAAACACATCCGACGACCGTCCCTCAACACCGCCCAACATCCTGCCCGACCCCATTCGAGAAATGGTAATAGCGATAGGCGCGCAGTGCAGCAGCGCGTCCGAGGCGCAAACCATCGGCCGGAGCTGCTTCCGACGAGCCCAACGCCAAGCATTCGCAGAGCTCCTCGAGGACCCCGACCTTCACATGGTCCGACTCTTCCTCTTGATGTCCTTCTACATGCTGGGCGAGTGCCGCAGGAACACGGCCTACATGTACCTCTCCATCGCCGCCCGCGCCGCCCTCGCCCTCGGCCTCCACAGTCCCAGCTCCTTCATGGGCAAACCGGACCAAAAGGGCCAACTACGGCACGTCGTCCCTCAACTCATACCCTCTCTCACCATTCTGACCTATATCCACCAGATTACGAGTCTGGATCAGCGTCCGCATCCTCGATAAGCTCGTCAACTCCCTGCTCGGCCGCCCCGCCGCCACAGCCGGCGTCCAAACCGACATCCGCGCAGCCCTCGACCAGCTGCCCCCCCACCCCGACGACTACGCAACCCAGTGCCTCACCGCGACCTGCGAGATCGTCGACATCATCAACGAGATCAACAACACCCTCTACCACGACAAGGACGTCTCCGCCACCGTCGTCGAGCACCTCCTCCTCAAGATCGACGCCTGGAAGCGCGGCCTGCCCCCGTCCCTCAAGGGCTCCCTCCACCACCACCAACCGTCCGAGCCAGAATCCTCCTCGTCGTCAACCCAGCGCGTCGCCATCGCAAAGATCCACGTCTCCTGCCTGTACTACTTCGCCGTCACCCTCGCCACCCGCCCAATCTTCATCTCCTCCCTGAACAGCAACCGCCCCGACGCAAAGATCCACCACCCGCCACTAGCCGCGGCCTGCATCGACGCCGCCGTGTACCTCGCCCAGACGTGTGCCGACGCGCTCAAGGCGGGGCTGTTGCAGCGGAGCATGTGTATCATGAAGTATGTCTCTCCCCCTTGTCTATCCGTGTAATCCAACATGCACTAATCACCACCAACAGAGCCCTCGTCTTCGCAGCAGGACTCGTCCTCGGCGTCGAAAACTTCGCCAAATCCGCCATCGACATCGAGACCGACCGGGCCTTCCAAGGCGCCATCGACGTCCTCGCCTTCCTCGCCGCCCAGAGCCACCAGGCCGCGCACTACCTCGAGATCCTCACCTCCCTCTCCAACGCCATCTCCGAGCGGCGCGCCAAGCCCGCGCCCGTCGGCGGCAGCCGCTACGTCTCCAAGCTCTTCAGCCTCGACCCGCCGTGCCCCGCCAGCAGCGGCAGCAACATGTTCTCTCAGAGGCACCAGGGAGAGGATGAGACGGGCTTCTGGCCGCTGATACGGTTCGAGCAGGGCGCTGTCGGCGAGAGTGGCATTAGCGGTGGTGGGCTGGGCGCGGGGGACCCAGGTAGCTGGCCCGAGGTCCAGCTTGACGATGATGATTTGAGTATCGACTGGGAGAGTCTGAATATCTTTCAGTGGGATAGCTTTCCGTTCAACGCTTGAGGTTAAGGGCGCAGCAGGAGTTTGGAGTTTCTACGGGGATGGAGATTATGACATCATGTACATCTACGACTATATTACGATCCATCATTCTCATCGAATGGACAAAATCACGAATTAGACCAACCCATTTCACAAGCCAAAACATCTCTTACACAATGCTCCAAGGACATAGAGTAGTTCATCCCAAAGTGACCACCACAACAACACCCCGCATCCGAAGCACCTCACGGGATCCAAAACCCCAACACCCGGCCCCCCCTCCAAATCATCCTTCCCGGAAAATGATATCTGACGGATTCAATAGATAAGCATCCAAACAGCTCCAACCGAAACGCAGCTCCCGGCGCGGCTTGCGGCGGGTATGGGTGGTTTATCAAACACCACCAGCACCAACCTAAGCACAGCCGGATGGCGGGTAAGGGCGCGAGCGCGAGCCGTCGGATACCGCACCGCACCCCGCCTGCATACTGTACCATCAACGTCACCAGCAGCGATAAGGCGAACGCACGAAAGCCCGAAGCGCGAAGGGACGAGCGGGACAGCTGTCGTGGTTTCGGCTCCATCGTTCCCATCTACCGCAACTGATGTGATGTGTTCAATTTGAGGGCTGCCAGCCTGCCGCACTTGGCCGATATCCGCTTCTACCCGCAGGCCGCGCCCGGTCTCCGGCTCACACGGTAAATTAGACTGCGATTATGACGCGAAGCAGCTTCGTGATCCATCCCGGTCAACACGGGAAGCCCGTCGACCCCGGGCCCGGACGAGAAAAGTGGGACTCCGGGCATTTCAACGGCGCTCTACATGCAACCGGCCGACACCAAAGACGTCAAAGTGATGAGAAATATAAGAGACAAAAGCCTAGAAGTTCATGCATTAAATTTGTATTCAATATCTCATCAAGCCCCCAAAAGTCACCATGAACGCCGTGTATATGCACATCAACCACCCACTTACAACCCCTTCTTCAGCCCCTCCGTGACCTCCCCCAGCATCCTCAACCCAAAGAACTTGGCCACATTCCAATACACACCGACCTTCCTCAGAATCTCCTGTCTTCTCACGCTCTCAACCCATTCCCCAGAGCACGTACAATGCTCCATAAACTCATTCAGCCGGAGCGCGCCGCACTTGGTGCACTTGAGATCCTGCGTGCTCCACTCCACCACGAACGCCTCAACCTGGGCCAACAGCATCTCCTCGATAGCGTTGCGATCGTACTCGGCCTCGCAGAACGTGCACCGCCACGGCCGCGTCTCGGCTCCCAGCCGCTTCCCGTCCGGCCCCACCTCCGGCAGCAGGTCCTCGTCCCTGCAAAAGTCGAGGTCGCGCGCCATCGTGCAGCTGTCGCACGAGAGCTGCAGCAGCTTGAGGCTCTCGCTCGGGTTCTGGAAGGCGCCCTCCTTGCTGAATTCCCTAACGTCGAACATGGCGAGCAGCTCCTTCCGCAGCAGCCGCGCCTCGAGCGTGATGTTCTTGTCCAGGCTGAGTACCTGCATCAGGGCCTTGACCAGCTCCAGCACCGCGTTCCGCGAGGACAGGTGCGCAAGGTGGCTGCCCGGGAGCTGGGGGAAGGAGTAATCGCCCGCCAGCTCGGGGTGCAGGAGCTCCCTCTTCTGCAGGTTGACAAGGTTGGCAATGTCCTTCTTCAGAGGCTTCTCAAACTTCTTGCCGAGGATGATTTGTCCCTCGGCGCCTTCCGCAAGTGACTTTTGCGGAAGCTGCGTCAGCCGGGGCGTCGAGTCGAACTCACCCTGTGGGCGCTTGAGGCCATGCATGAGCTGGATGAACTCAATGACCCAGTCTTGGAACGTGGGTTGCAGGCGTATGGGCAGGAAAGTGGCCATCTGCCAGTGCATAACCGTGTCGAGCTCCTGAACCTCCGCCTCGACGACCTCCTGGCACGCTTTGCCTCCGTAGTTGAACTCATCGTACCATACGAGGTAGTCCCAGTACTCCTTGATCTCGAGATCGATAAAGTGGAACAGGGGCTTGCTCTTGATCGACTTGATAATGTACTGGCTGTAGGCGTACGCCGTGCCGACCTCGGCCTTGGTTGTCTGCAGTAGCAAGCGGTTCGAGTTGGCAAAGACAACTTGTGATCCGACCCGGCGGAAGTCAGCCATGAGCTGCTGGAAGGCCTTGCGGGACATCATCTGCACGTAGTAGTGCAGCGCTCGGTCGTACAAGAATGAGTCCGGATTCTCGACCCAGCGGACAAGGTGTTGGACCATGACGTCTGCCATGGTATTCCCCTTGCACGCCTCCTGCCACCAACTCTTGACCATCTCACGAAGCACGAGGACACCCGCATTAGCAAAGGTGCCTTCGGACGTGATGACCTCTTCGCCGGCCGCGGAGTCACCGGCAGGGTTGAAGGAGATGGAGTCGGCACCCTCAAGCTCGTTGATCAGAGATGATGTCAGAATAGTGTTGATGGCAAGATTTCTGACTTCCAAGTCAATGCAGACCGAGGAGAACGTGCCGGGGTTGTTGATGGAGGGCATCTGTACGGTTTGCAGCGGCCCGGTGATGTCATCCTTCTCGTAGCCTGCGTGGTCGGGGCGAGGGCTGCCGGACCACCAGAGAACAATGTTGTTGTTCTGCAAACGGCGGGCATATGTAATGTCGATGAGGAAGCGGGGATCTTCTCGCTCCAAGTTACAAAGAGGCACATCACCGTACCGGGCAAGGGTCGTCAGATGCAAGATCCAGGACCCCAGACCGAGGTAATGTCCCACGAGACGCTTCGCTACGACGGCTTGCCAGCCAAGAGGCGGGAGAGAGCTGTCGGCGGGATCGTACTTGAGCGGAAGCACAGGGAAGTCGCCCAGGATCGGCACGTCAGTAACGAGCATGTTGCGCTGTGACGACTGAATAACCATCATCTGCGGGCGCAGCTCGTCCTTTCTCATCTTCTTTACGACGTCGCTGAGCTCCAGATGGGCCTTTCTCTTGGTTGTCACTTGCGTGATCTTGAAGGTGAGCTTCTCCTGGTATCGGAAGCAGTCTTGCCAGTTGGTGCCCTCGGCCTCCTCTGCGCGTCGAGCAAGGAGTTCCGTGTAGATTCTGGAGACGTTCGGAAGGTCCTGTCCAGAGTCTCTACCCTTTTGCAGAATGATAACGTGTGCCTCGTCTCGTGTTGTTGAGAAGACTCCGAAGATCTGCTTGTCGCCGGCAGTAACGTGGGAGATGTAAATGTACGCCATTGGGGACGAATCGAGATACGTCCTGGGCTTCAACGGTCGCTTCAGGCCAGAGAGGTCGAATCCTTGGTCAAGACCCTTTCCGAGCACAGCGTGCTGCTGCTCATCAATCGTGCAGAGGTTACCGAGCTGGAGGACGGCCCTGATATTCAGAGGAAGATGCTTCTCGTACACGCCCTCGACACTGGGGTGGTTGAAAAGCAAAGAGAACTTGTCCGCCTCGGCAAAGTAGGTGTCTTCAGGAACCGTAAGCTTGAAAAGATGCACAGAAGAGTGCCCGTTGGGAAGCGTGTGGTTGACTTGCTCCACCTCACAGCCCGGGATGTCCACGTCCGGCATATCGCCGCTCTTCAAGTTCAAGAACACCTGCCGCGGGACCTTGATCTTGAGGGTGTGGATCTTGGCATCGATGAGAACGTGGGCGTTGACGACGCCAGGGGTTTCGGTGGCCTTGAGATGCAGAAGCTGCCAGGTGTTCATGAAGGTCACGTGCGCCTGCTTCATGAACGTAGCCTGGATGTTGCTCTGGTTGCCCCGTCGGTCACCGAAGAGCTGCCGGCGACGGATACGGGCCTGCTTCTGAATCTTCCACTTTTGCTTCTGATACTGCAGGAAGCCGACGTAGTCCTCTGAAGGGGATGGCATAACCTTTGGCAACGCAGCAAAAGGGTCTGCGTTCTCGGCGGGCTCGGGAGACTTTCTCTTCTGGGCGACAGGAGCCGGCTGCGAAGAAGCCACTACGGCTGCGACCGGCTTCGGCTTCAGCAGCTGGCTGCCAAAGTCTTCCATGTCGTTCAGGTTTCGGCCATTGAGGTTGGTGATGTCCTCCAATGGGCCCTTGGTGAAGAGATCGGTGAGCTTCTTCTGCTTCATCTTGTCCTCCTTGATGTTGATTCTCCTCTGGAGCCAGTCGGGATGCGGCACGCGGGGGACGGGGTTGCGGACTTTCTGCAGCGCGGCTGGGATGGTGATGAGTTTCTGAATGACTGAACCTAGACGTTCAAGGTAGTAGTCCCAGTCCAACAAAGCTCTCGGGTCCGTGTCTGCAGGCTCCTCCTTCAACCACTTCTTCAGGTAGAACCGCTTGGTGGTTTCCTCGGCGGAAAAGATGGCGACCGGCACGGCGCGCTCGGTGACTGGAGCATTCTTCGGCCTGGCACAGATGATAAACTTGCAGTTCAGACCCTTGTCCTTCACCATCTGCTCGCCCAAGAAATCGGCCAGACGCTTGGCCGTGGTAATGGACGTCGACTTCTGGCTACCGTACTCCTCGAGCGTCTTGGACATGCTTCTGTTTTCTGAAATGAGCTCCATGAGTTCCTCGTCCGCAAGAGTCACACCCTTGCTGTGCAGCACGTCCAGCCACTGGTTGGCCACCTTGGCAACCGCAGTGTAACACTCTGCCAGCGTCGTGCCCTCCAGGAAGAACTTGAAGATTTGCTGCTGGAAGATCTTGATGAGCTTCAGCTCACCTCTGCGCTTCACTTCGAAACCCTTCAACTCAGCCAGACTACCGTCGTCGTTGAAGACAGCGTATCGTTTCTTCAAGTTCTTGTCCTCCTCCTTCGACGTCGGCAGGATCATGGCCTTGTAAGGGCCGTCGACCTCGAAGAAGATGGAGTTGTCGCTGTGCGTCTCGTACTTAAACGTCTTGGGGTCCTTGAGCGTCTGGTACTGGTGATTGGTGAACTGCGCGTGAACCAGGTGGTTCAACATGGTACAGGGGTAGGAAACGGTGACTTTCTTGCCGTTCTTGGTCTTGAATGCAAAGTTTTCGGGGAAGGTGGCTGGAAGCAT